CCCTTTGTATGAGGAAAAGGTTGTTCCTTTTGAGGAAAAAGTCACTTTTGTGAGGAAAACCTTACTTTTTGCGAGGGAAAAGTCAGTTTTGTGAGTTTAAAAAGTTCACTTTTTGTGTGTGGAAGTAATCGCTTCTGTGAGGAAATGGTTCCTTTTTGTAAGGAAAACGTTCCCTTTTGTGAGGAAAAAGTTCCTGTCTGTGAGGAAAAAGTCGGTAAAAAGTGAGGGAAAAGTTGGGGGTTTTGTAAAGGGAAGTCACTTTGGGGGAGGAAAAAGTTACTTTTTGGAAGGAAAAGTTCCTTCATGGAAGAAAAAAGTTCCTTCTTGTGAGGAAAAAGTCACTTTTTGTGAGGAAAAAGTCACTAAAAAGTGAGGAAAGTGTTCCTTCTTGTGAGTTCTCTTTTGGGAGGAGAAAAGTTGGGTTTTGAGGGAAAAAAGTCACTTGACCAGGAGAGAAAAGTTTCCATTTGGGGATAAAAGTCTCTTTTGGAGGAAGAAAAGTTTTCTGGGAACAATAGTCACTTCTGGGGGGAGAAAAGTTACTTTTTTGGGGGGTAAAAGTCACTTTTAGGGAACAAAAGCCACTTTTTTTGAGGAGAAAAGTTACTTGTTTGATGGCAAAGCTACATTTTTGGGGTAAAAGTCACTTTTAGGAGACAAAACAGGTTTTGGGGGGAATAAAGTCGATTTTTGCAGAGGAAAGTTCCTTTATTTAGGGGAAAGTTACTTCTTTTGGGGGGTGAAGTCACTTTGGGGGTGACAAAAGACACCTTTTAAGAGAGAAAAAGTCACTTTTTGGGGACAGAAGTCCCTTTTGGGGGAAGAAAAGTTGCTTTCTGGGGAGAAAAGTTACTTTTTGGCAAGAAAAGACAGGGGTTTTGGAGGGGAGAAAAGACTCTGTTTTTGAGGGGGAGAGAAGATAGTTTTTTGGGGGTGATAAGCCAGTTCTTTGGAGAGCAGCTACTTTTTGGAATAAACTCGCTTTTTGGGGGAGAATTAGCTCTTTGGGGGGGAAGTTTTGAGGAGAAAACTAACTTTTGAGGGGGGAGAAATCACTTTTTTTTTTTTTCATGGGGAGGTGTCGTTCCTCAGAGGAACAATCGCTTTTGGGGGGAGAAATGAGGGTTTTTTTGGGTAACAACCCCCCTTTTGGCGGGGGGACGAGGCGGATTTTTGGGGAAGAGAACGGGGTTGGTGTTTTTTTCTTTTGGGAGAGCCGCCGGTGCCTCCCGGCCGCACACAAAGAGCTGGAGCTGGGCCGCATCCCGACTCCCTCCGCGGGAGGGACCACCCAGCCTGAGCAGAAGGGAAAATTAGAAGGAGAAAAAA